GAACAAAGACGATGAAACGACAGAAGTCAAGTTTTTATTTAAACTAATTTTTTAATTTCTGGAACTAACAAATGTTTCCTGTTTGTTTAAAAAATATAACGTGAATTTATAAAATAAATAAAACATTCACTTCACCAGCCGACCTTTCAGACATGATCGCGTTTCAAATGAACATTTGACGTTTTTTAAAGTGAAGCAAAAATTATTGTGCATCAACTCTGCACAAATATAGTTTATAAAAGCTAAAAAAATTTAATTCTGTAATTTCACCTGCATGTGCTGTGATTTATTTCAAGTCCTCTGACGTTGAGTTTATTCAGATCCAGAAACAATACTTCCTGAAAGTCTTCATTTAATCTCACATCGAGTCCTCTTTCAAACCCACCGAAACCGTTTGGGTCATGTTTGATCCTCCAGAGGGAAGCGAAAAGTCTTGTTTCCTGTCCTGCAGCGGACCTCTGCACAGTCCAAGACCAAGGAAAACGGTCCACCTTCGCGGCTGTCCACGAGACTCTGGAAGAGTTCAAACTCACAGATGAACAACGAGAATAAAAGCGTTTGATTTGATGCGTCTGAACAGAAAGTTCAACCGCTTTCCAGCTAAATCTGGACCTAAAATATTTTAGATGTGTTTTATTTTTACTTTTTTTGGGTTTAAACTGTTTTTTTAATTCACCACAAGAGGGCGCTGCAGCTTCATCAGCTGACACTGAATAATCCCAGAAAACATAAAACTGTTTGTTTTGATTGTGAGGTTTTTTTCTAGTGGCCTGTGAGCAAAACATCCATCCAAATATCAGTTTGACTTTATGTTTCTCCTCTGATTCCCATCTCCAGCAGTCTCTGTGTGAGGGGCGGGGGACTCCTGGACATGTCTCCAGTCCATCACAGAGACACTGAGACAAACGACACTACCATGGGGACAATTTAAAGTGACCACCTAACCTAACCTAACCTATGTTTCTGATTTGTTGGAGGAAACTACAGAAACCCCCCACATCCATGTAAGCTCCACAAGGAGAGGGCCGAGGCCGGGATATGATCTTCTGGCTCACCTGCAGCTCCTCTGACATCTCCTTCATGTCCTCCGTCACGTCTCCAACACACCAGGCCAGACTCACGTGGAACGATGGATCCTAGAAAACCCAGCAGAGAAAACATCATGGTGCATCTGAGTTAAAACAACGACTAAAATTATTCTGTGTTTTACATTTAAAGTCTCTCTCGTATGTATGAATCCCCGTATTTAGAAAATTATTTCCTCAAACTGGGTTTGAAATGAATTATTCGTGTTGAAAGATCACCAACCTTGTAGAAAGTTTCCAGCTGAAACTCTGTCATTGTTTCGTCAACAACTCGAACCAGATCCAACAGCTGAACGTGCCCACAGGAGACCTCCATCCCCAAGAACGTCCTTTAAAGAATCAAGAGGGAGACACAAAAATAAAATAAAATAAAATATTAATTTAAACAGGTCAGAATTAAAAATCAGTTTTCTGGATTTTAACCAACAATGTGAAACATTCTGAGATGAACTAAACATTATGAGGAACTAGAGAAATTGCATTTCCTGTGAAAATGCTAGTGTGAAGCTGAAATCTGCTGAAAATAAGGTGAAAATATTTAATTAATTAATTTTAATTTTATTTAACCTTTATTTCACGAGGCAAAACATTAAGAACAGTGTCTTATTTACAATGTTGGCTTGAGGGTGCAGTTAATAGCAAAAGTGTTGATGCAAGTTCGATTTGAAAAGTTGACAGAAGCCAAAAAAAGACTTAACTTTGCAGAAAAACAATAAAAGGGAGCAAAAATATAATTGAAATAGCAGAAAACAGCTAAAAGCTAAAATAGCTGCAGAAATTAATAGAAAAAAACAGAATAATAGCGGACAGAAGCAGATCTAAAGCTGAAATTGCATAAAAAGGCTAAAATTAGCATAAAATAAGCTAAAGGTAGCAGCCACAAGTTGTAATTAACACCTAGATAGTGAAAGTTTTGCAAAAAAAAAAAGTATAATTAGCAGAAAAAAAGCATAAAAGTACAAAAAAGTGACAATTTGCAGTACATTAGTTAGCTTGAAGCTAGCTAAGAGCTAGCTTGAAGGTAGCTGGAAATTCTTTAATTAGCATAAGGAGCACAAGTCTGCTGAATTTGTGCTTTTAGCTCAAAAAAGCTAACTTTAGCTAAAAAACAGCTGAACATTAGCTAAATTTGCAGCAAATAACTGAATATAGCTGAAAACATCTGTAAGAAGCATAAACAGCACAAATTAGCAGAAAAAAAGCACAAAAAATAGAAAAAGGCAGAAAGAAGCTGTATTTTAGCTGAAATAGCTGAAAAAATCTACAATTAGTAAAAAAAAGTAGCTAAAATTGGCACAAGGAAGTTAAAAAGAGCTGAACCAGAACAGAATGTGTAAGATGCTGTAAAGATTTAGAAATATTTTAAAGGATTTTAAGGATGTTGAAAACAGCTCCATTCATTTTCACTGGCAAAAAAGTGGCTAAAAAAGTGAAATAGCTGAAATACCAAAAGTCATGGCAGGATTCTCATAAATGAGCTGAACGTTTTGATCTATGAATTGTTGAAATGGCACAAAAGTTGTGGAACGTGTTAGATGCCAGAAAAACGTTCAGCAGAATAAATGATCTCAACAGTGTGAATGATTGTGAAGCGTTTACACAACTAGTCAGGAAAGAAAAGAGAGACAATAAATGATTTTACAGACTGTACCTGGTCCTCTCAGCATTACAGTAGATCTTCAGTCTTTCTGCTGAGCAAACAAACCTGCCAACAAAACACAGCTGCAGTGACCACCTCAGTTTGCTGCTTTTTTTAAAATTTTATTTGACTTTCAATTCATTTAAATTAAATAATAATAAAATTTTATGTGGCAGTTTATGTCCTGATACATCTCAGTAATCCAGGTAAAAAATCAAAAAGAAAAAAAATAGTGTAGGTCTTCTGGACGGGTTCTTCTCTAATGAAACGTTTCGTCTCTCCTCCAAGAGACTTCTTCAGTCTGAGAGTTTCAGGCAAAATTCAGGCTTTTAAGCCCTGCCTCCATGTGACTGATATTCACATCACATGGATATTGTTGACACATAATTAACACCTATTGTTAACAGGGGGTGGAGTGATACTGGCAATAGCAGCGCTGTAGGAGGGGGACAACTGAAAATGGAGGCCTCCACCTCTGTTTGATGATGAACGGTCTTTCTTCACAAAAATGGCTTCTTTTACTCCTCTCTCAAACCAACGTTCCTCTCTATCAAGAATGAGAACATCCTCATCTCTGAAAGAGTGACCGCTGGCCTGTAAATGAGTGAAAACTGCAGAGTTCTGGCCATTAGATGTAGCTCGTCTGTGTTGGGACATTCTTTTGGACAGGGCAGTGGCAGTTTATGTTTTCTCCTTAAATCGACACGTTCTCGCAGTTTACAAACAAACCTCCTGCAGCGGGCCAAGCCCGTCCCGAGGCTTCGTGTGAAAGGCTGGATCCAGTGGTGTCTGAGCACCACCGTCTGGGACAGGCTGAGGTGGAACTCCTCCTGCGGGGTCAGAACCAGACCCCGGGTCCCCGCAGCCGACAGCAGCTCCTCCAACAGCTCCTCAAACTCCTCCTCAGGATGGTCTGGGCACGAAGAGGAGACGGATAAATAAAGCAGATAGTCTAGGTGTTGGTTTATTTTCAGACTTTGAGTTGTTCTTACAGGGTGAATAAACGTAAGTGGCCCAGTTTCCTCTCTCGTGCTTGAAGGAGCGGACGCGTCCACCATGAAGGGAGCTGTCTTCAGTCTGAGGATCATCTTCATCAGGGAACATGTCCAGGAGGCATCCAGGGAGAGGCAGTCTGCATTAACACCAACCAAGACTATATTAGTTTTATGAATTGTATGACAATGCATATTTGATATTTTAACTGTAAATTGAATTTTATGGTGATAAAATGAAAAACATGGGATGTGTAGCCTCAAGTTATTTATGAAAAACAGTTAAAAAATGTGAAATAAAACACAGGTAAGCTACATCAGTTGTGAAATATAAATAAGACAAGCGCACCTAGTTTTGGGAATCACATCTTCTACTTTCATCTTCTTGTTCGCTGGGAAACCATCGCGATCTTCCTCCACCGGCTTTCTTGAACAACTTCGGGTTCTGCGTCGCGTTTTCTTCGCCGCCGCTTCGCTTCCGTTTCCTTCACCGTCCTCCTCTTCCTCCTCCGAGCTGCTGCTGTATCCAACCAACATCCTACAACTCCGTCAGGACATCCTGAACCAGAAACAAACCGAATAATTGGTCAAAACCGAAAAAGCTAGACCCGAAACGGAGCTTTCTGCTCCTACTTCCGGTGTAAACAAACTGTTCCCACCGTGATTAATGTCCCCGTGCAACAAGCACCTGCTGCTAGAACGTTCTCAGCTGGTTCAAAAACTAAAATTTAATTACTTGATAACATTTTAATATAATTTTTTATTTAAAAAATCAAGCAGTAATTTAAAACATGATATGAGAAAATGGAAATCCTCAAGGGAGCTTCTAAGTCCATTATTGTTTTCAGTTATGATAAATAATATATTCAAAGATATTGGAAAAGAAATAGGATGTTCATTTTTGCAGATTATGGAGCAATATGGAAAAGAGGCAGGTATTTAGAATTTAGTATAAAGAAAATAATTACATGGAAGGAACATATACAAAAAATTATAGATAAATGTAAGAAAATATTACATTATTATGAGATGTTTGGCTGGTGGTGACTGGGGAGCAGATAGAGGATCATTAAAACAAATCTACACAGGACTAATAAGATCAAATAAAAGTATAATTTATGGAACAGCAGCTAAACACATTTGGCAAAATTAAATACCATACAATATCAAGCAATAAGATTATGTACAGGAGCATTTAAAACAACACCAACAGCAGCACTGGAGGTAGAAATAGCAGAAATACCTTTAGATTTAAGAAGAAAACAATTAGCAATAAACTATTGGATAAATTTACAAGGAAACAACCCAGATCACCCAGTACTTGACATTTTAAACCCATGCTGGGAAAAGGGAAAAAAGGAAATAAGAAGTTTTCGTTGGAAAATTAAAAAGACAATAAAAGATGTTCAGATAAATATTTTAGAAATTAGCTCAGTAATACTATTGTCTGTTATACCACCTTGGATTTTACCACAAGCCACAGTAGAAATGACATTATTGGAAAATAAAAAGGATAAATCACATAATATGAATTCACAAACAGTTCTGTTATATGTAAACAATTATTACCAATACATTCAGATTCATACAGATGCATCAAAATATCAGAAAAATAGGAATAGCATTTATAGTGCCAGAATTTCATATAAAATTAAAAAACGAATCACCAATGGTTTATCTGTATATACTGGAGAAATGTTGGCTGTTCTATTAGAAAAACAGTGGGTGGAGGACATTAAACCATTAAAAACAATAATTTGCTCAGATTCAAGTTCCACATTAAGTTTGAAACATAATCATTCAGACAACAGACCAGACATTTTATTTACACACCTTATATAGAATTAAAAACATGGGTTTAAGTTTTTGTATGGATACCAGCACATATTGGAGTGGAGGGAAAAGAGATGGCAGATAAACTGGCAAAGAAGGAAACTCAAAATCCCATTAATTTCATGGTTTATACAAGTAAATCATCATGTTTATCGTTAAACAAATAAAATCAAGAAAGAATGGCAAAAAAGGTGAGATGAAGAAAGAAGGGGAAGATGGTTTTATAGAATCAAAAAGACGGTAGAAGAAATGAAAAGGGGGAGAAGAAGCAGGAAAGAGGAAAGATTATTAACAAGATTAAGATTTGGACACACAGGACTCAGTCATTCTTTATTTAAAATTTAAAAAAAGCATGATACGGGGAAATGTAACCATTAGGATGAAACAGTAGAACATGTGGTTTTTGAATGTTATAAATATAAAGAAGAGAGAAAATATATGAGGAAAGAGTTTGAAAGGAATAAAGAAAAAAATAAACATAATAGACACTTTACAAAAGCATTTAGGGAGCAAATCAATACAAATTATAATATTTAAAAAGCAAAATTGATTAATAAAGTTTGATTATACAGTTATATAAACAACAATTTAGAAATACTAAACATCTGAACCACACTCCATACAGTCGGTTGCGGCAATGCACAAAAAAAAAAAAAAAAAAAAAAAAAAAAATCCCAGAATGCTTTGCGCCTTGAAACTTTTCAAAATGGCGTTTGATAAACCATCGGAGGGATTCGTCTTTAAATGTATTACTTGTACTTTAAATGTTACTTTTCAACCTAGCTGATTGACTTTTTACTGCAGTAAGATGTTAAATAACATATCGAAACTAAATTAAGTTTAATCGTTTTTCTGCATTTACGTATGACGCTTTTTAAAACAGTAAAGTTATCGCTTTAAGTGGACATGTAATGGTGGGGTCATTCTCACGCATTTTAAAATATACATATATATTATATTATTTTGTATTTTTATGTTTTTTTAGGGAGCAAGGAGAAAACGGAGGAGTTTATCCGGCTGAGAGCATCAAGAGATGCACTGTTCACAGGGGCGAAGTACTCTGCCATCTCGTCCTGGAAGTAAGCTTTTTTTTTTATCTGCATTTACCTGTTTTATAAATAAAACTTAAATTACAGCTTTGAAATATCGACCGCAAAAAGCTCACCACACAAAGCATAATAATAATAATGATGATAATAATAATAATAATAATAATAATAATAATAATAATTAAAAAAGCACAAATTGCTGGCCATGATGTTTTTTTTCTTCTTTTTTTGGCATTTCAAATAGTATTTGTTAAAGAGCCCGCGAGGGGACATGGGGGATTTTTTTTTCTTTTTGCGTTCCCACGTAAAAGTCATTAAACACTGTTGTGTCTGCCTGTTTATTAACAAACTCACATGTTCTAGGGATGTGGATAAATTTTTAATCCTACACCAATATTAAATCTGACAGTGGATTCCAAAAGAACATTTCAAACCTTACAAAATAACACCAAAACCATGTGATTATCTGAAGAATGAGGGAAGTTATTGATGTTTAGGTGAAATCAGCTCATGTTTTTCTTGTTCACAGCAGAACTAATGTGACCATTTCACCTTGATGTTTTCTATTTTTGCTCATAACTTCCTCAGTGTTCAAGATATCACCATGAAATTTTAGAAAAAGATTCCCATTCTTGTTTTGTAGGAAGCATCTTGTATCCTAAAAAACTAATAAAACTTAATAATAGCCTATTTAAAAGTAGCAGAAAAGGTATAAAATTACATTACAAGGCAAACTGCAGCATCAAATCAACTTAATGTGTCTTAGAAAGTAAGGAAATTAAAACAATTTAAAACCATGTGGACATCTGTTTTGTAAACAAAGCTCCTCAACCAATGACAGCGTGTTAAATGTGTCAGGTGACGACAAGCGTCAAAACACTTTGCAACAAGCTCTGTTCCGGATAAAAAAAAACATACTTTGATGTTTCAAATCATTATCAAATTAGGAACAAGGGCAGATAAAATAATGTTCTTCATGGCAGCTTATCTATTTAAGCGGTCACTAGAAAAACTCGGGTGATTTACTTTGATCCTCTTTTCAAAAAATTGTCTCTTCAAAACGCATCAACAAAAATTAAAATCTCGAAGACGAGGCTGTAGCTAACTACCTGACGTCAGCGCGCTTTGATGAAATTCGTAGAAATAACGAAGCAGGTGGAAATTACAAGCAAACAACACCGAGCAGATTTGCAAAATCTGGTCACAGCAGTTTGGGAAGAAAATGGCAGCAGCTGCTGAACAAATGTCAACATCCCTACATGTTCACCATTAGCGAGTTAGCCTACTGCTTTATTTCAGCTTCAGAATGAATATATCACACAGACACGCATGGAAGTATGTCATATGCCGATATTTTAACAGTGCAGCCACGCAACATCAATGTCAATTTCACGAACTTGTAACGAAACATCCTGTTTTGGTAACCAGATATTTCAAAATAAAAGTCTGATTTAATTCAGTTCATATACAAATCAAACTTTTGCGTGGGAACGCAAAACAATATTGCGAGGTAACGCAAAAGTATTGCGAGGTAACGCAAAAGTATTGCGAGGTAACGCAAAAGTATTGC